ATATATACTTTTTTAATTAATAATGACTCAATCATGCTGTGCTAAATGAAAATGAGTGGTTGTGACCCAAAAAATTAGATGCTAACATACAAATGTATGGGATGTCCTCATTCTCAAACCATAAAACTACACAGGGTACAAAAAATAAATAAATAAAAACCAATAAAATATACTTTTGTGTTTGACAAAACAAAACTAAACTATAAACAAACGTAAGTAACATGAAAATAAAAATAAAAAACAAGCATACTGTCACGAATCCTGTCCATGGACTTCTGTTCAATCACCACCAGAGGTCACCCTGCCATTACATTGACTCTCGCACAACACAAACTGTTGCATGTCATCCCGGACTACATATCCCATCATCCATTGCACTGATTGCACACAGCTGTAACCAATCACACATTCACTTGGATGTTGACATCACTGAATTCAATGATGAACTGTCTTTAACTGAAAAATGAGTGTTTACTATTGTCATTTTGCATTATTGATACTATTTTCCTAATTAATGCTGTTCAGTTGCTTTGTCACAATCTGTATTGTTAAAAGCGCTATATAAATAAAGGTGACTTGACTTGACTTATCTTCAGTGTCACTGCTCAACAGTTTCGGATAGCCTGTTTCAGTCTGATTGTATACAGTGATTGTACTCTTCTGCGTCTGAAGAATGACATATATATATATATATCTTGGACTGAGGAAGATGTGCCAAACAGCACATTATTCAGGTGGATGATCTTCAGTGGCGGGGCTCCAAACTGCATACCTTGTAAAGGTAGAATCCCATGTTCGTTTGTTCAGGTGGAAACCTCTATTAGCATATGTTGCTATTATACCTCATAAAAACATATTACATGCATATTTCAAAAGTATAAATAATAATAAAAGTTACTGTGCTTCAGTGGTCATGCCCCCATCCTTACTTTAATATAAATAAAGTCACAAACATAGATTAGTAATATTAATGTAGAACAAAGATTCAGTGGCTTTACATATCATGTTCCTGTGTGGCTGAATTTTAGAGACATGTGATAATGTGGACTGTGGCCCTGGGAAGAAATGTAAAATGAACAGGAGGAGTAAGCCTCGCTGCGTCTGCGCCCCAGACTGCTCCAACATCACCTGGAAGGGGCCGGTGTGCGGCTCAGATGGGAAAACATACCGAGATGAATGTGCCCTTATGAAATCCAAATGCAAAGGGCACCCAGATCTGGAGGTGCAGTACCAAGGCAAATGCAAAAGTAGGTAACGCTGCTTTCGCACAAAAAAAAGAGACTGTCTAACCTTGAGAGAGATTTCAGCAGTTGTATCCAGAATCCTACAGTTTATACTAAATAAAGTCCACTGTAAAATACACTAAAGAATAAAGAAAGATTTTGAGAAACTAGGTCATTGGTTGTGAAAATATGGTAAAACTATAATTCAGTCTTCCCTTCTCATCCTCGCAGAGACGTGTCGTGATGTCATGTGTCCGGGAAGCTCGACTTGTGTGGTGGACCAGACAAACAACGCATACTGTGTGATGTGCAACCGCATATGCCCAGAGGTCACGTCTCCAGATCAGTACCTTTGTGGCAACGATGGGATTGTTTACGCCAGCGCGTGCCATTTAAGGAGAGCCACGTGCTTGCTTGGTAGATCCATTGGTGTGGCATATGAAGGGAAATGCATCAGTGAGTGTCAACATTTGCCTGTTTCATTTAAATGAGAAAAGTTGAAAATGGTGGAATTTGTTTTCAGTTCAGAGTGCAACGATGGCGAAATCCCAAATGAATTCAGTTCCATTAGTCTTTTGTGACAATCCCAATTGTGATTATTACTTGCAAAGGAAAGTCATTTTTGTCTAATTGTTTCCTGATGTTGGCAACATCGTCTTGTGTGTTATAACAAAATGAGCGTGACACATTTATGAATTTCTATGTATGAAACACTAGTGTTATCAGTAAAAATTGACGTTTCTTGTCCCCTGTTGGTTTTTTAGAGGCCAAGTCATGCAATGATATCCAGTGCAGCGTGGGGAAGAAGTGTCTATGGGATTCCAAGATGGGACGCGGGCGCTGTGCAGTTTGCATGGAGACGTGCCCAGAAAGTCGATCGGAGGAGGCCGTGTGCGCCAGCGACAACACCACGTATCCCAGCGAGTGCGCCATGAAGCAGGCCGCTTGCTCTTTGGGGGTTCTCCTGGAGGTTAAGCATTCAGGATCTTGCAACTGTAAGTAATAAATCTTAAAAGACAATCCAATGCTGCCCCCAGCAACCACCTCCCCAAAACCTCCCACCCCTCCAAATAATGCCTCTTCATTCCCTTGCTGCTGCTAAGAGTTAAGCTACAGAAAGGACTTAGGATTGGAAGTTCTTTGCATGTCCTCTTTGGCTGGCTTCATTAATTTAGCATTTTCTTCAGAAGAAAAACAAATGTTTATTTAAAAAAGAACCCACAAAATCAATGGAAATCAATTGATACATTGTAAAAAGAGATATATATATATATATATATATATATATATATATATATATATATATATATATATATATACTTTTTTAATTAATAATGACTCAATCATGCTGTGCTAAATGAAAATGAGTGGTTGTGACCCAAAAAATTAGATGCTAACATACAAATGTATGGGATGTCCTCATTCTCAAACCATAAAACTACACAGGGTACAAAAAATAAATAAATAAAAACCAATAAAATATACTTTTGTGTTTGACAAAACAAAACTAAACTATAAACAAACGTAAGTAACATGAAAATAAAAATAAAAAACAAGCATACTGTCACGAATCCTGTCCATGGACTTCTGTTCAATCACCACCAGAGGTCACCCTGCCATTACATTGACTCTCGCACAACACAAACTGTTGCATGTCATCCCGGACTACATATCCCATCATCCATTGCACTGATTGCACACAGCTGTAACCAATCACACATTCACTATATAACACTCACTCAGATCCCTTTCAGGCTGCCGAGTATTGTATGCGCATATCGCTAGTTGTGATAGCTACGTTACGGAGCCTGCTTTAACTTGTCTAGTCTAGTCTAGTCTAGTCTAGTCTAGTCTAGTCTAGTCTAGTCTAGTCTAGTCTAGTCTAGTCTAGTCTAGTCTAGTCTAGTCTAGTCTAGTCTAGTCTAGTCTAGTCTAGTCTAGTCTAGTCTAGTCTAGTCTAGTCTAGCCTAGCCTAGTCTTGCCTTGACTTGTCTTGTCTGTTTCCTCGTCTTCTGATCATTGCCTGGGTACTTTGGATTACCTCTCTCATCTTGCCCTGTTCGGATACTGTTTGCCCCTGCCTGGACCTTTGCTTTGTACCTGGATCATCTTTCTAGTCTTGCCCTGTTGGATTACGTTCATCGCTTGTTTACCGGACTACCCTTGCCTTGTCTTCTACATACCAGTTTGCCTATGTCTGACCTATGCCTGTTTATGACCATGTCTTAATAAAAGCTTTGCACATGGATCCGCATGTCTCATGTTCTGGTTACTCCGTAATGGATACAATGAAAATCAAGCATAAAATATAGATCATCAAGCAAAACCAGTTGAGAACCACTGCTATAGTATACTACGTGTATTATATACCTCTGTTTACAACTGGTGTAACATAAGATTAGCAATTTAAGCAACTTGATGCCTTCTCACTAAGTTAAATGTGTTATGAAGCCTTCTACATGCTCAAAATCATTTAAGTGCTTTTAGTGATGATGTGCTATATTCTGTTAAAGGGGTCATGAAGGACCTTTTTTTTATTATTTTGTACTGTTCTCTGAGGCCCACTTATAATGTTATCAAGATTTTTACATCAAAAGACATCATTTAGAAGTAATAGGCTATTTTCTGTGCCGTTTTGACCCCCCTAATCAGAACGCTCCGTTTGAATAGGCATGGCGGTTTGTAGACTCAGAAGTAAAGCCCAATGCTATGATTGGTTAGCAGCTGTGTATGTTTGACAGCCTACATCCTTCATAGATGAACGCTGCTGTCATTTAGGATAAAAACGCATAAATACTCAGTACATATCAAACGATCTGTAATAACAGACTGGAATAGTGACCACGCAATAATAACAGTTCCTCACAGTTGAGTGGTGCGACATTACTGTCGGATCCAATATAGCTGCACAGCATCATCTTTTAATTTCAATCTTTCTGAAAATCCTGCATCAAATTGTGCCTCGTTTGTAAATGAATCTGTGGTGAAATTAAGTGAACAAAGGACCAAGTTTTTACTGACGTGGTCTGGTTCAACTACTCTTTCCAAATGTTGGGATCAGAAAGAAGGCAATGGGAAGACTGTGTTTTTCCATAGCTTAGCACTGAACAGCATCTTGTAGTCTTCGGAGCATCTTTATCATTTGGTTTCTGTGTAGACCTGCGTTTGCCTCTCTCGTTATTTACACTACACACATGAATCGGTGGGCGGGACTAAACAGGCAGTGATGTAGAAGCAGGCATTGATCTTCTTCTGCAGAGGCGGGGTTTAGCCACACTATTATGTAATAAAGTGGCACATTCCACAACCTGTCATTTTGGCAGATTGACTTCAAATTAAGTCGTTTTTAAACTAACGAGAACGTTTTGAGTTCTGAAACTTACAGGATGTTTTTATAGTACAATGACCTTTTATATATCAAAAGATCAAGGGAATTTTGATTTCTCAGTTCATGACCCCTTTAAAGGAACAGGACATTCCTGTTATAACCAGGGGTGGACTGGCCATCTGGCATCTAGGGCATTTTCGACGCAATTTTTGGGTCCGATAATTTGACCTATCATGTAGAGGCAGCAGCGCATTAGTTTGTCTTCTGTATTTACAGCGTAAACCATGATGAAGTATCTGCTCCGTCTATACAGTATATATAAATATAGCTTCACCCCAGGAAATATTAGGAAATATTACAAAGTCTGTAAACAGGATGTTAACAGAGGCCAGAGACGGGACACGATAAAGACAAATGCAAAGAGGAGAAAACAGACGTGTCAGTAGAGAAAATACTGTACAGGCAGAGCAAGCTCACTGTTTGTGATGCTCGAAATATTGGAGGAAAATTCGAAACATTGAATTTTGGCGTGGATGTCTATAATGTATCTCTGAAGGGAACTGACTGTCTTCAGAAAAGTTTCGCTGGTATTTTCCTTTCATCTTAACGCCGTATAACACATTAAAGCAGTGTTTATAAGTGCAGGGCTGCTTTGTTTACAATGGTAACCAAGGAATCGCTATATTGCAGCTGTTCTGCTGGCAGAGAGTGCATTTACATTTTTAGCATAATTTCACAAAACTAAAGTCAGACCACTCTATTTGCTTTAAATCTTGTAATTGTAAAATCTCATTTAAATAAAAACAACTGCTCATGCTACATGCATGTACTGTAGCATCTTTGTTTGGACTGTGATTGAAATGCAGTGGTTCAATTTTTTTTAAGGCCAGTTCACTCTGTAATAGAGCAAATAAACAGCTTGTTCATTTACTCTTTATCAGCAAGTGGTCTCAGAATCAGCCCATTTGCCAACAATCGGAGCTGTCCATGAAAAATCATGATTGTGCATCTCTAGTTTTTATAGATAGCCTACTGTTTAGTTTCCTCAAACAGTCATAACATTGACTGACTATTAACATCAAGTCGAGCGAGTGAGTACACTGGTCCACTTAAAATGGTATACACAGTGGATATATACACACATGAACACACAGTGTTTAGTGTGTACCTGGTATTCGCAACATTATGGGGTCCAAATGTGTGTGTATGTGTGTATTTAGAACGACAGTGTGTGTATACACACACACACACACACATACACACATACATACATACATACATACATACATACATATAGGTGGGTGCTGTCCAACTGAACCGATTCTGATTGTTGTGGTGGGCGGTTTGGAGCCAAAAATGCCAGAAAAGACTTCGGCCCTTAACATGCTTGATAACATAAAGTGCAAGACAAAGTGAGATCATTAAAGGTGCACTAAGCAATATTTGAAAAACACTTTTGACCACAGTGTCGGACCGAGTCCCAAATGCACTTGCTACCAAATCAGCAGTAAGGGGCGTGTCTAGTAATGATTGGGAGAAGTGAGCGCTCAGTGAGTGCACAGGACGGATATTAGCACTGGACGGATATCGACTATGTATAGCGAGAGATGGCAGATTAGATAAGAGGAAAATTTTGGAGGAACAAAACATTAAAAGAAGGGTTACAATCAAGAGGGAGGGCCCGTCTAAATATTGGAGCAGATTTCCAGTGCTGGAGAGAACTCAAGGAGCGGGAAGGCCTGGAATCGGACGACGAGGTTGCTTTGTTTCTTCTTGATAGGTGAGTTACATTGATTTTGCTTTGTTTCATACAACTAATCTGTGTTGGCTTTTGCTTGAATATGCTGTGGCCGGCAGGCATAGCAGATTCCGCCATCGTCGCTGCCAGGGTTGTGTACGTACTTGTGGGGCGGCGTTATCAAAATAGGAGCGAGGACCTGTTGGGGTATGGGCGTGTTTGTTTTGGTGCTTTCAAATATCAACATAATTTGGCAAAATTCGCTTAGAGCACCTTTAATGTTATTTCATTTTATTTGTTTTGCTAGCAATAGAAATGGGTGTCCAAACTCTCATTTTGCAAGTTAGTCAATATCCTGGGTATCAGTTGCTATAGTAATGTTGCAAGCATTAGCACAATGGCAAAATACTTTCTCAAACAACAATTGAGCATCACTGTCAGTGTGGAAAGAATGAAAATAGCAAATTTCTTCTGTTTATGTCTAGCAATGAGATCTTGCCATGGTGCTGATGTGCATGAGAGAACAATGTGAGAACAACACAGTTTTAGGGTTTAATTCGCATTAGAACTCTAATTCTGATTGCATTTGAAAAGTGAGAACTCCAAACACTGAGAGACTTCACTTCACAGCAACTTCAAAATTAGTTCCATGTGGCACTGACGGCTGATAAGATAAAAATAATATTTGGCGGTACAGATGGCTTTGCTGGGGAGAGTTCCAGCAGATTTGTTTGAAAAGACTTTTCATCATCTTCATATACATTGGTAAAGCATGAGAAGTATCACTGAAACAAGCTTAATTCCTGTTAACACCAAGTGTGTTTGCAATATGGATGAGTTAGAACTATAAAAAGACGCAACCTATGTTCACAGTAGGACAAAAACAAGAATTACATTTTACACAGTATTCTGTCTTCACACAGTGGCGGCTAATGAGTGCCTGCTGAATAAATGCTAGATATTTAATGTGATCTGCCTGTAGAAATATGATAATCATATACAGTGTGGAGAAATGTGTAAAAAAAAATTAAAATGAACATTAAGCCTTTTGCTTCCTTTATTTTTGCATAATTTTATTGCATTTGCTTTTACTTCGTCATTCTGAACAACATCTAAATAAATGTAACATTTAAATATGTAATAATA